ACATGTTAAATTCAATGAAAAATTAGTGTATGGGGATAAATACAAAGGAAACGGTATCAAAGATTTCCCAGACTATGGAGAAATGGAGAATAAAGCTGAATGGTTTGTTAAGTTCGAAAAGAATCGAGGAGAGACCGAGGATTCTTTAAAACCGGAGGGAGAGATAAAACGCAAAAGAGGTAGACCAAAGAAAGAAGTTTCAGAACAAAACACTATCAAGAAAGTGAAAACAGTTGACATAAAAGATAAAATAATAAATGATAATAGCTTTTCAGAGTTGGAAATTGATGAGAACATGAAAGGAAATGTTTTCTTCACTAGTGTTATCAGTAATGTAGGCGAGATAGATTTAGCACAAAAGGAAGATGAAGTGTATCATGCACTTTTAGCAAACATAAATGAAGATCCCTCAAATTATCGAGAAGCTATAAACAGTAAAAATAAAGATTCTTGGTTAAATGCGGTTGATGAAGAATTAAACTCGTTAGAAAGAAATCAAGTATGGAAAATTGTCAAAAGACCTCTAAGTATGATGAATGGAAAAAGATTAAATGTCATTGATTCAAAATGGGTTTTTAAGTGTAAAAATGAGGCAAATGGAAAAATAAGATTCAAAGCGAGACTAGTAATCAGAGGTTTCAAGGATAAGAACATTTATGAATTAAGGGAAACTTATGCTCCAGTAGCTCGTTTACCTCTAGTGAGAATAGTTATATCGATTATAAACAAATATAATCTAGAGGTGTGTCAGTTAGATGTTAAAACTGCTTTCCTCAATGGGGTAATAGATGAGGAAATTTATATGGAAATTCCAGAAGGAACTAATCATACTGACAGAGATAGGCAAGAAAATGTGTGCAAATTGGAAAAAGCACTTTATGATCTTCCTATCAGTCCCAAACGGTGGAATGTTAAATTCACCGAAGTAGCTTTGAGTATGGGTTTGCAGAACTCGGATTTAGAACCTTGCTTATTCACTTGGCGAGATGAAGACAAGTTCTTGCTTCTGCTACTTTATGTAGATGATATGTTATTGGCGAGTAATGATAACGATAAATTGGCTGAAGTAAAGAGTAACTTATGTAGCGAATTTGAAATGACAGTCCTGGGAGAACCCAAGGAATTCTTGAGCATGACTATTAGGCGGGACAGAGAAAATCAGATTATCAAATTAAATCAGGAAAATTATATTCAAAAGATATTAAGTAGGTTTGGCTTTGATAAAGCATATCCACAACGTACACCAATGAATACTTCTCAAGTAGCTAATAATGAGAGAAAATTAAGAGGAACAGAAAATGATAATGGGACTTTGGAAAGGACAGAAACAAAAGCAAACATTCCTTATAGAGAGGCTGTAGGTAGTCTTTTGTATTTGGCTGGTGCTACGAGACCAGACATTGCATATGCAGTCAATGTAATAAGCAGACATCAAGTAAATCCTAAAGAAAGTGATTGGGAAATGGTAAAAAGAATTTTTCGGTAACTGAGAGATACTACGGGCTTGGGTCTGAGATATTCAGATGAGACCAATGACATTCAGGGTTATTCTGATGCGAGTTTTTCTGATTGTAAAGATTCTATCACAACTTGTGGATTTGTGATTAGACTGTTTGGTGATTCGATCATTTGGCGAACTCACAAACAAACTACAGTAGCACTCTCCACGTGTGAAGCTGAGTATGTCGCAATGAGCGAGGCGAGTCGAGAAATGATGTCGTTGCACAACTCTTTGAAACTGATACTGGTTGATCCCCCCGTTCCAATGATCTTAAGGTGTGATAATATAGCTGCAATTGTTAGTGCAGAAACAAGTGGAGGAATGAAATTAAGACACATTGTAGAGAACAAGTTACATTATATAAAGGAATGTGTTAAAAGGAATCATATAAAAATCATTTGGATTGGCTCAAGGGATCAGTTAGCTGATGTTTTCACCAAACCATTGATGTTTGAAACACACAAGCGTTTGATGGATCTAATAATGAACGTAAATATCTAAATTATTTCTTTCTGTTTATCTAGGAAGTAACTGATTAGGCGAGATGGAAACTGAGGAGTTAAAACCAACTGAAATTACCTGACAAGAATACTGAGGCGAGATAAAGTTACCAAAAATAAGAATAAGAAATTTTGTGATTAACGAGAATAGAATACTAGGAGAGAAGAAGACTGGAGAGGAAAAGAGAATACTGCCTATGGCGGGAGGGAGTGTTGAAATATAGCGCCCTACGCTAGTCTCCCTTTTACCGACAGTGTAGCAGACTGTGTCGCCACGGCGCCGTTGCGCCTCTCAATGATATACTTGTACTATGCATCACTTGTGCCTCGCCCGTTGTCGCATTACGTTGCTGAATAAAGCTTAATTACTTTTACGATAATAAAACTGTGTTTAATCGTTATTTCTGTCCCTAATAACCCTTCATGATCAAATTGCAATCTTTAGTCCATAATCAATTATCATCACCGAGGTATCAAAACCTATTTCGTTACGCTTGGTTCCAGAGTAGCTACATGGCTAAAAAAGCCGAGGAATTTGATAATCCTATCGATTTTGCGTTTGGACAATCTTCTAATCCAAAATGTGAAGTTGATAGTTGTTCTAATGTTGCGGTAGTTAGATGCTCGTGGTGCAGAAAGTCTCTCTGCATGCACCATTTTTTTTATGTATATCATTTCTGTACTAATTATGTTCCCTAATAAACTATATATACTGTAATGTCCAAAAATCTATGAAATAATTTTCCTTCACAATTTCCCAATTATTCTCCCTATCCAATGCCACATCGTCAACCGAGAACCCGAAAAGTGCAGCATCAACAAATAACAGATTCCAACATAAGGCTAGTGGACTCGCGATTTCAACAGAGTAACACCCCGCAGGTGAAGAATCGCCAGTGCGAAATCCAGCGCGCCTAAAACCGCTGACCCAACAGGTCAATTCCCCCCAAGCATAAAAAGTGGGAAAATCACGCCATAATTTCCACCAATCAAAAGCAAAATCGTGTATCGACCAAGAACCGATTCACTCCCCAAAATCAAAATTACAACCAGTCTAGAAGCAATCGTCGGAGCGTTAATTTGACTTGGTGGAAATTACTGACGGAATCGATCTGTNGTGAGAACAGTGACACACAGTCCATCCGGAGATAAGACGTAACCGAAAACCCAGTGACCGATATCACAGAAACCTGATCACCTCCTCCAGACAACAAAGCCAGCATAAAAATGCTAAGTAGACGATTACGTCCAGCGAGAATAATAAAAATTCAATCAAACCATAATATTCACACATCTCAAAATCAGTTCCACATAAATAGAACAATGATTCTGAGCGGGGGCTGTAATGTCCAAAAATCTATGAAATAGCTTTCCTTCACAATTTCCCGATTATTCTCCCTATCCAATGCCACATCGTCAACCGAGAACCCGAAAAGTGCAGCATCAACAAATAACATATTCCAACATAAGGCTAGTGGACTCGCGATTTCAACAGAGTAACACCCCGCAGGTGAAGAATCGCCAGTGCGAAATCCAGCGCGCCTAAAACCGCTGACCCAACAGGTCAATTCCCCCCAAGCATAAAAAGTGGGAAAATCACGCCATAATTTCCACCAATCAAAAGCAAAATCGTGTATCGACCAAGAACCGATTCACTCCCCAAAATCAAAATTACAAGCAGTCTAGAAGCAATCGTCGGAGCGTTAATTTGACTTGGTGGAAATTACTGACGGAATCGATCTGTCTCTTTCGGTCCCCGCTATAACATAGTTCATAGCTGAGTGAAAGAAAGTCGCGCAGGGATACTGCATCCTAAAATCGAGAGTAGTAGTGTTTCTTGCATTGTAAGAGGACTAATTAACTAGGCTTCCGTGATTGTGGACATTCTCACTTAAAAACACTTTTCCGAACTTTGTTAAATTGTACACGAGTGGGTGAAAGTGATCCAATAGGAAGTATCCATAATAGGATCAGAGAAAACTCTAATTCTGGTGGAGAAAAACCTTTGTGTCATTGAAGGATCCACAACTAGAAATATAAGGATTACTACTAAAACCATCATCAACTGTAAGTTCAATTATCAATAACCTTCAACCATTTTGAAAACCAAAGTAATCCACTATCAGACTTGGTAAAAAGACTTTCCAGGGATAAAATATTAACTTAATATCAATTTCAAAATTCAACAATTCAAACACGATTCAAATTGTAAATTTTTCATTTGTAATTATCAACAAAGTCGAAATTATAGAAGATTACTTTTGAACATAAAAATTGTCTCGAAGTCATTTGACTATTTCCTTACTTCAAATATTCCTCATCCTTTCAGTATCCCAATTTCGATTCTCAAAATTAGTAACGTAAACCAAGGTAAGAGAGATAAATTACACCTAGCGTCGTTCAATATAAATCAAAATATAAAAGTATCTGGCTTAACAATTCCTTTCTAAATTTAGCTTTCCCATATTTTTATATAAAAAATTCTCGATTGTTATTTTTCCGTAATTTACAATTCTACCCAAAAAGTGTCCTTCGACGCTGACACGTCTCCGGACATAACAATACATATATATACTTTGAATAATTCATATTTTTCGACAAAAACAAACTTGCGCCTCTGAAAATTCCAGTTTCGAGCAAAAAAATGGAAAACCAGTTTCCGCATTTTTTTGCATCGGGTGCTCTTCCTACTGGGCTATCCGGCCCCTAGCTGCATTCTTTCATGTTTTTTTCGAATACTATTGGTTTTATGCAAATTTGAACAATATTTTTTTTTCTGAACGACCCAATTTTCATGAGGGTAGTTAACCCCCAATTTTGAAACCTCAGAGTGAGTAGTGATTGTGATTTCCATAATTCCTCCCCAGCTATTCATCAGTTGGATAAATTGAATGAATAACTCCACCACCTTGGTGGATGATGTTGCCGGGAAATTATTTTTTTCACCCTAGAAAACTCCAGTTCTGGGGAAAAACCAAAAACAGGTATTCCGCATTTTTCCATGTTCCATCCAACGCAGTTGGTTTCATAAAATTCTGAATCATTGTTTTTTTTTTTTTAATTGAAGTTTTTACAGGGGTAGTTTACCCCCCAAATTTCAACCCCGGGAAGAACTATCAATTATGATTTTCATAATTTCTCACGAGCTATTTATTCCCATAATGAACATTTAACAAAATTCCCTTCTTATAGGTGGAATTGAAAAATCACCCCAAAAGTGGTCACCTTTTGACCATGGTTTCCCCCCTTAAAACTGCGTATCCGCCGATAAAAAAAAATACGTGGCGCTTAGTTTCGAGTCCTCTATAACATATATGAGTTTCATCGAAATCGGAAGGGGACACCTCCCTAGTGTTCCTTGTGAGTGATGGAACCGTAAAAAAGACAATCGGTTGTATGGAAGAAAGTGGTAATAAGAATAATGATAATGATAATATTTAATTAAGTTGAAAATCTAANCATATATATACTTTGAATAATTCATATTTTTCGACAAAAACAAACTTGCGCCTCTGAAAATTCCAGTTTCGAGCAAAAAAATGGAAAACCAGTTTCCGCATTTTTTTGCATCGGGTGCTCTTCCTACTGGGCTATCCGGCCCCTAGCTGCATTCTTTCATGTTTTTTTCGAATACTATTGGTTTTATGCAAATTTGAACAATATTTTTTTTTCTGAACGACCCAATTTTCATGAGGGTAGTTAACCCCCAATTTTGAAACCTCAGAGTGAGTAGTGATTGTGATTTCCATAATTCCTCCCCAGCTATTCATCAGTTGGATAAATTGAATGAATAACTCCACCACCTTGGTGGATGATGTTGCCGGGAAATTATTTTTTTCACCCTAGAAAACTCCAGTTCTGGGGAAAAACCAAAAACAGGTATTCCGCATTTTTCCATGTTCCATCCAACGCAGTTGGTTTCATAAAATTCTGAATCATTGTTTTTTTTTTTTTAATTGAAGTTTTTACAGGGGTAGTTTACCCCCCAAATTTCAACCCCGGGAAGAACTATCAATTATGATTTTCATAATTTCTCACGAGCTATTTATTCCCATAATGAACATTTAACAAAATTCCCTTCTTATAGGTGGAATTGAAAAATCACCCCAAAAGTGGTCACCTTTTGACCATGGTTTCCCCCCTTAAAACTGCGTATCCGCCGATAAAAAAAAATACGTGGCGCTTAGTTTCGAGTCCTCTATAACATATATGAGTTTCATCGAAATCGGAAGGGGACACCTCCCTAGTGTTCCTTGTGAGTGATGGAACCGTAAAAAAGACAATCGGTTGTATGGAAGAAAGTGGTAATAAGAATAATGATAATGATAATATTTAATTAAGTTGAAAATCCAACACAATTTGTAAAAAAAAGAAATATCACTCAATTTAATAAAATAACATGAACAATGGATTATATAAGATGGAGGACAATTATATGCAAAATGACTATTCGGAAGCATATTGCTAATAGATTAGCAAAAATAACTATAGAATACGAAGACAAAAGTAATTCTCCACTTGTTTTCTTTGTTGAAGATGTTACTAATTTTTTTAAATAATCACAAAATTGTTTTCGTGTTCTTCGTATCTCACCGTAAGCTAATTTATACCATTTTTTCCCACGGAATTAGGAACACTTTCTGTTGTCCCTCAAAGAAAAAAATTTATTTTCAACTATCCATGAACATTTAACACTTCATAACACAATATTCGATAAATAGCATTTCTGTCAGTTTCCAAACATAAACCATAAGCTCACAAACTATCTTTATCTCCGAGGCCCGGATAAAGATATGACGAGAGGAAATCTGAATTTTCGACGAAAGAAAAAAAATACAACACAGAGTTGATTTTTCGTTTTAGTCTAATGAGTGATTCAAAGTGAGAAAAAACACTCCCGTAGTTATCCACATGGAGAATAGAAACCTATTCTCTATGGTTGTCGAGAACCAGATCATAACACACGTTTAAACGCACTGGTGGCAACACTCCGACGTTCGACGTGAGGCTCAGTTGGACCGACGCTGCCAACGTCGTAAACAAAAACTCACACTTTATAATGTGAATCGCAAGAATGTGAATATCAAACCGTTGCTATGGGCGTATCTTCAGCATTGTTAATCCAAATAACACAACAGTTACACCACTGAAAAGATTTTTC